TAAGAGCAGGTGACAAGGCATTGATAAACTTAGGTCCGACGTAGGGTTTGTGTTTCCGGTCCCGGCTGCTGGTCAGGGTTATGATTGACTGAATGTGGCCAATAAGCCCGAACCCGTGCTGTATTACTTTACCCCTGACCCCGTTGTATTCTCTCTGGTAGCATAGCTTGGCCGACTTTGGTCTGGTAGGTAGTTGCCTGTTCCTGCTCCCTACCACACATACGAAGTTTGTTTACTTCGCAAATCCAATGAATCGGTGTGCGGCCAATCTTGAGTGATTCCAACTGCATAATACCATGTTCATTACCTAAACGCGATATCTCGTACGGAATGCCATAATGAACGAATTTGTTTTGACTTACAAGTACATGACATTCCGTTTTTTGAACTACTGCAAGCCACTCAGATAGGTCACGTTAACAATATTTGGCTGATTTTAAAGGTATTAAAACCTCCTACAAATACATGAATACACATCAGTGAGGGCAATTGCAAGATCAGTTAACCATTTAATTTGCAGTTTTATTTCTCGCATAGTATGTCGACGGAATGATGGCTACCGATATAATTTAATGAATAAAAGGAAAACCCTGAAGCCAGAACTAGCATCCGTGAAAACGAAAAACGCACTTTCATTTACTGTCACATCTGAATACTCATAACTATCAATGAAACAATGGTTACACGCCTCATCTGTCGACATTTAGCCAACTATTCCTCTTCCTATATTTGCTTTTCTCGTTTCACTGGGCCGCATGACAGCAGACATTTTGTTATGTTTGTCTTTTGAAGTCAAATAGCACTTCATCTAAAACGTTCCTCATTGTTCCAAAGACGGCATTTTGCGGCAGCAACTTATACTGTCCGGTATCATCGCAAGATTTTTGGTCACTTCGGAGTGTCGGAGTTTGAACGAGTTCGTTACCGGCCGGTTGTAAAAACTAACTAATTAAATAACATACAATTGTCTCATTGATATGCAATGCCCCTATATAAACAAATATATTTCATGCACAACATGCAAATAAATATTCATTCTTTAACCCATCTGGTAGTGATTACGTCTTCCTTTTTTTGTAGTTGAAGGAAGGGTATCAGTCGGTTTTAAAAAGTTTTCAGGCGCCCGAAAAGACGTTCGTTTATATGTTGGCTGCAAAGTAACTAATTTTAAAACCAAACTTAAGTAATTTTCTCGGGTCAAAAACCCACTTCAGAATTTCCGATAACATTTCATGAGTCAGCACACCCACCATAGGTGTAGGGGGGTGTTGCGTTCAAGGGGCGCATGGGCAGCTGCGACGCCACGTGTGGCCGAGTAGAAGTCAGTTGAGTGGCTGCAGGTCAGTGCGCCTGGAACAGCTCAACGCCAAAGTCGGTGATCTTGACACAAGGGAGCCTCGAACAATGACGCCAGGCTGGCCATGACGGTTACCCGCAATAGTCTGGTGGGCAATCAGTGAGTTGCTCCGACCGACTTTCACAAACCCCTATGGCATATACCGGCTCTACCAGATGATCTCATTTGCACACGGCGGCTGACGAAAGACAGAATAATTACAAAATAATTAATTGCTTCTTGTCTTAATACCTAAGTGACAGCGATATTCAGAACCTGATTATTAATGGCGTTTGCAGAAATTATATCAGTTAACTCATGGACAGGTCGATCTGCGCACCGTCTAGACGGAGGTAACTTTACGTAGACACCCAGGCAATCGCTGACACGTATGCAGGAGTCCTTATCAACGTGTGCCCAATTCTAATGAGTACATATATCCCCACACTTTGTAAGCCGCTGAGAGCGTAAAGGCTTTTAAAATATTAAAAGCATACAACTACAAGCCGTGATTGTAGACTTGCTTCTTCTATAAATGGTGAGCTTAATTCCCCAAAACATCCTTACACAACCAACTACTGATAAACTTCGGAAACATAATCGTGCGAATCCTCAACGAACTTATTTGTTTTGGATTTCTAAATGTAGTTTGCTTAACCACATTGATATTCTCTATGGATAGTTTAAATCCTATTAACTGCTGGCTTTCCACCGATATGGGGCCAGACTCAACTATACACACCATTTAAATAATTGATTGCATTTGAGGAAACTGTGAGACAAAGAACATGCTCGGGTTACCGTTTATCGAAACGAATAAGTTAACTACCTATTTCATAGGCAGCGATATATGGCCAGTTGGTATGCAATGTTGGAACGGCTTTTGTCAGTGTCTACTTTAAACGGTTTATCGATATGCCACCTAATTTCCCTCAGTAGAATATTACGTCCATGCAGAAGGCATGAGACTTCGTACAAGGAATACATTTTGATTGTCACCTACTTCAGATGAATATAAGTTTGAAGCTAATGAGTCTAATACCAAAATATTACCTTTCCTGTAAGTATACTGATCACGTGCATCGTCGAAAAATGGACGCATCCATAGAGAAACCGTAACGCATCATGCCAGGACGTTCCATAATGTAGTAACTGAAGAACGTTAGTAAGGAAAGCGCTCTGGGAAACACGACATATCTAATCGTACTTAATCTTATTATCTGACAAATATTGGGCTTGTCGCGGCTGCTAAAGCTATAGGCGGGGCTTAGTCATTAAAAACTTCGGGAAAGGTCTCAAATAGAAAGAGAAGGCGCTAGGCGCCAGCTAACAAGATATTGCATTCTATGCAGAAGGATTGGACAATCAGTTGGAATAAGTTGGGAGCCGGGCGAAAAAACACTTCCGGCGACGACGCGATAGCGGCGCTACGAGTGATGGTGTGGAATGCATCATGGCGGCATGAGCAAGAACACGCTTAAGTCGGCCTTGAAGATTACTGGCTGGTTTACATAGCCGTAATTGGCCAAGGACCAGACTATTGCTGGTGCATGTACTGACGATAGACGCAGCTTGTAAATAGGCCCCCAGCCTAAGATCACTACAAGCAGTACGAGGCTTATCTTCACCGGGGGTTTGGAAAGTCGGCTGAGGTTCTCCACAGGGTGTCAGCAATGTAGCCTCTTCTAAAAGGCGGGTTATTTTGCGCGAGAGATGTGGAGTTCAGACATGACAAATCAGAGCGAAATGATAATCGTGAAAATATCGACTCTCAGACGTGTGAAAAGTTTAAAGCGTTTTGATCCAGAAACAGAATATAATGTGACGATAGGTGCTATGGAGATATACGAAACCTCACGAGTACAAAATACCTAAAACCTATCCTCCAACCGGCTTGCGTTTTGGTCTGGGCACACACGGATACATTTGTATGCATAGTAAGGAGATATCTGGCGCGCCTGTTAACGCGTGTCCAATGAGACTGAGGCGATCTACCTTCGCATCTAGTTGGTTGTTCAAACCACAAATAATTTATAACATTCCATTTTGAACAGACCTGATGAAAAGATGCGGTTACAGATCGCCGTTGGTTTTTTACTTAATTTTGCAGGATGCTGCTTTTTTCGAAAGAGTGAGTTTTATTTTCATGAACCCTATAATGCCTGTAAAACACAATGCGTGACGAAAATGCCCGAAGCCTGGTATTATATTGTCTATCCGTTAGACCGCGTTTAATGTTAACCTAAGTAAACACAGTCCCGAAAATCCATCCCATTATCAGTCACAGTATCTATTTGTTAATTACATTGTGATGTTTCCAGCCTCCGGTCTGCGTGAATGTCCAACCCAAATAGTTGCACACAGAGATCGGAGGCAACAATCAGGCGTCAGAAAATGAAACAGAATGACTCGCTGCCACGGCAAGAACCGCCTGGAGTCGTTTATTGGATCTGTTACAGTTGCGCACAAAGCAATTACGTCGGAGAAACCGGAAAACAGCTCCGAAAGCAAATTGCCGAACACGATGCAGAGGTACGGAGATGTGGCGCCTGCTCTCAAGTTACGCCGCATTCGACGAGATCCGGCACACACTGAAATTACACAAGGCCGAAATTCTTGCAAGGGATGACAGCCGCGTGAGCCGCGAGCCACTTGAGTTATGCTTCACTGGCCCCCAGTCTATTTGCAAGTGCAACGGCCTTCCCCTTCCATACTCGTTGCTGAGACTTCCCCTAGACGAAATAATTAGCCACACAGGGTGCGCAAAAGTGAACACTGTTCCCAACGACAGCGTCGGTTGAACAGATGATCGAACAATCATCACAGCAGCATTTAACACACGAGATGAAAGTGCAGCAATCAACGACGCGAATGTCGGCTATCAAACAGTCAACACACCAAGTGCAACGATCGCCTATGAAGGAGGGAGCCGTGAATATTCATAGGTATGTGGTAGCATGGCGACTGCATGCGACAAATACTATAATCCCTCGTGCATGAACTACCCGTATTTGCTTTTGTCTCTGATGATGTGTTCGAGCGGGAATACGGGACGTCAGGAGAATAAAACTCTTTTCACAGCGATCGTGTCTGTTTCATCACGGCTGCTTACTGGGACTCGTCTCCGCTTTTATTGACCTCTTTCGTCATAATTTTAGCATAGACTAGGATGGAGCGGGTCACCTCTAAAATCTCCAATGTTGGATCCCATCAGTATGTGCCATCTGTCGCAAACCCTCCTCCATTTCCTGGGCACGACGTCAAAACAGAGTCGAGAATACATGAGGCTGGCATAGACGCAGATGATTGGTGCGGCGCGAGGCTGCGTCCAGGCGTGCCACTACGGTGCCAATTTATGCTATTTGTTGTGGGTGTACAGTCCAATAACGTGCTCCGTATACTGATCCCTCCCTCCCCGAGTTGGTCGTGCGCAACTCCCCGTGGTCAGGTATAGGGGGCAAAGTCCACGGCAAGTACGGTCTTGATACTTTTTTTATAACCAGTTCTAACTGCGCAAGCTCTTTTGCTTTCAGAAATATCCAAGTGTCCACGATATGACCAGGAAATCATCCCCAGTAATGTTGCTGAATACTTGGTGCGACAAGCGAATCACTTCAGTTTTGACAAAATGATAAAGCAGGAAGAATGGAGTTTGAATCTCCGAATGACAATTAAACAGACGTCATTCCTTTTTGATTGCACGTTTTTACGAGAAGTATCCTTTGCAGAATACTTGCAGTACACATGCATTTCTCCGATTCCTGACACTCAACTTCGGATAATAAAGAAGGTAGGATAGGGGTGGAAGAATAATTGCTAAATATAGCAACAAACTTTGCGAGGAATATTATGTGCTGGTGTACTGGTCATCTACGTGTGCAATTGCGCGAATATTTCTGAATTGCTTATAATCTTTTTTATTATAGAATGCCAAGAAGGAATCATTTGGGGACATCCATAGTTTCATGCAATACTTTGCGTTCAAACTGGGCGGCTTAGCATTAAACGCAACTGTTGACATTACCTACTGGAAAAAGACAATCTGTCCGCAAAATTTGATTCGACTGTCTTCCCTTGAGTTATGCAATGTATGCAATAATGCGTCAATCTGTCCCGCCAAATCTGTTCCCACTGCCTTACTGGAGTTGGTGAAAATGAGCGATGGAGACTTCAGTGCGTTTCTTAAAGAAGGATTTCAGAAGGCGCCGTCCGCTTACTGTCATCAGTAAATACCAGTGAGGAGAAACAGCACGACCAAAATAGCGGGCGATTTTTTAAAAGTCTGAATAAACGAATCCTTCATCTTGGCATTTAAGTTCTCGACTTCGCCGTTTCCCGTGGGGTGAACAGCATTCCTTGTATCCTTTTAACTGCATACAGTATTTTAGGTCGAATGTGGTCGATCTAAGATAGACAAGGTATGAACATGTTTTTTCGGTAAGATGTGGGTATGCTGACCCACCATATGGACATAGTGCAGTTGGGGTTGGGATAAGGGGTTATTACTGGGTGTTATAGTGATTGTTTGGCGTAACGGTTAGAGGTTTGGGTTACGGCAACTATTTCTTCATCACTCAAAGTGTAACCGCGCATTCCCAGTAGAGGCGTGGACTTCTAAACCAACAGGTCGCGAGTTCGAGGCTCGGGTGTTCCACACTTCGGGCATGGGTATGGCTGGCTGAGGACGGCTAATAAGCAAGAAATGGTCATTCCAGTCTCCCTTGCCTTTCTCGGTAATACCATTCGGCCTATGTATCATGGGCCGCTGTGCGGCTGCTGGTTGGGCTCGAGAAAGAGCCCTTAAGGCAAAACGGAACGATTGAGTTCTGTATGAACGATCGGTGAGCGCCCCCTACCATTGTATATTCCCGATCAAAAACTGACATTCTCCTTTGTCTTTGTCGGTAAAACCATTCTGCCTATATATATATGCGTCTATCATCGAATTAGTACTCAACATGTACTTTCCTATATTCTTTATATGGCAGATCACTTCTTTAATTATTGTACTTAGTAAAAGGACAACTTTCGTTCTTAAAAACTATTTAGCTTTGCGAATTTTCAAGATTGTACAATTGTCATTCCGATTTCATCGTTTTTTACTGCTTATAAAGTACATCACGTCTCCCGGTGGTAGGTAAAACATGTTCAGTCTGTCATGGGTGAGGTTTGGATCTTACCTGTGTGGACGTGATATAAGGGCCAAAATAAGAAGACCCCGTCAAACCGGATATTGGATCTAAGGGGTTTCATAGTGGCTGTCACGCAATACACTGTGGTAACATCCAAATGAGCCCTGCCAATCGCTGTGCATTTTAGGTTTATTTGCAGTATCTGTGTCTCAGAGGTCATTGCATTTAAAATGCGTATGCTTTAGTTTTTGTCTCAGCGCTAAACGAATGTGGGAACGTTATAAAAAGATTACCATAAAGCGGAATTTTTCTGAAGAGTGCAAGCGGCGTAGAGCTACGGCCTAAGGCGATGAACTGGGGACCGAGCCGGCGGCGTGAGACACGATTGAAGTTAGACGGCGGACCGCCGAGCACTGTAGCGCCGAGCACGTGTGGCGGCTTTGCTAACGCGTGCGGCCCAATCAATGGCTGGTCAAAAATTCCACACTTTTTCCGCGGGGGGGGGCTATCGCGCACGCGGTGGCCAACAGCGACCAGCGCGCCCGGGGAAGGAACATTCTAGAATGCCCTCAACGGCCGGCACGTCATTCGACGGAATGTTCCAGAACGCACAGGAGCCAATAAAAATAGCGGATCATTCTTACGACCTGTAACCCCTCGTGTCCGCAAGTTACCAGTAAAGTGTTTGTCCTTCGAATCAGCTCTCTTCCTGTCCTACCTTTCTTACTGGTCATAACAGGAGCAAACACACACGTGGTTAGCGCACTTTTCGCTCAAGGTATGGATTCGTTGTCGGCTTCTGGTAGATATATTTTGACAGAGGGTTTGCAGTAGTCATTAGTCTTGCGGCATTGACCTCAGTTGCCACTTCAGACAGGTAAACTTTTGAGATTTAGACTAAATATATCGCAGTATCGAAACAAACTGAACATTGTACTGTGTGTATATATGTGCTCGTTCTGCTCTTCCGAGCATAGGACCGCTCTTATGTAAATCAGCCGGCATTTTACTGCAGTAAATTTCCGTAGAATAATACACCTGCAAGAGGCTCAGCCCGCAAAACTAACCAAGCGTGTGCACGCTTTCCGTTCACCGGCTGTGACAATACTACTCATCGAACCCATTTCCTTATCAATTTTTCATAGAACACCAGGTTCTAGAGTGTGTTTTTTTTAAAGAGGGTTCTATTTTGCTTCGTGCAGGATTAAACCACTTTTTACTTCTGACGGTTTTGTCTGTCCAAAAGATTAACCACATTCCGCAGAGCATTCAAGCATAGGCTATACCCTTCTTTGGCTACTTTTTACCTACCCCATTCCAGCCGCCCATTACCTAGTCAAAAATCCCGATATGAATGCTAGGAATACGTTCACGGTCTTTTATATGTTGTGTCAGTTATTTTGGGTTGTGGAATTTGTGCGCATTGTCTTCTTGCGTTTGCCTACTTTACACTCAAACACATAACCATACGTATACTGCCGTACAACCTGCTTATTCATTTTACCTCGCAAAGTGCATGTCAGTAGTGACGAATGGAAGACAATATGCGCATCCCAGGTTCTTGTTTAAAAGAAGACGAAGGCTCGATCACTGGAGCGATAGATTTATTGGCTTTCGAACTCGAACTGGAGTTCATCATCAGATAGTGCGAGAGTGCAGCAACGTGTGGACATTTATATCTTAGTTCCATGCGGGGGAGGGCTACGTCCGCGGTTAGGTAAGGTTTGTGCCGCCTGGTCCAAGACGGTGGGATGACACCGTTTGTACCTCGCGACGATGTGAGCTGCGACACCTGACTGTGTGGACGTAGTGCGTGATAACACGCTGGCAAATCGATGAGTTTCTCCCCGTCTTTTTGCCGTCTCGCGCCAATATCCACGTGTTGACGAAGTCGATCTCATGGCGTTCCTTAAGCCTGTGACTGGCGACATGAGATAATGGATCGCCTTTTCGAACGGCCCGTTTTTGCTCACTTATTTGTGAGCTGAGACGTCGTCCTGTCTGGCCAGTGTAGTGGATAGGACAGTTTTGGCACGGGATTTGATAGACTACGCCCGACTGTTCACCTGCGTCCCGCCGATCCTTCATTATCATGATACTGCTACGCGTGGTGGCCGCCGGATGATGAGCGATGCCCACGCCTAGCTCTAACGTAATGCGTTTTGTAGCCCCGGACACACTCTTTTAGTACGGTAGGGAGAGCCAAATTGTTGGTGTCTCTTTTCCGTTTGTCTATCGTGGGTGCGTTTGTATGTAGCGACTGATAACTATTTTAGGTAGCCTTTCTTTGTTACTTGGTCCCGGAGATGCCGCATTTCTTGCATCCTTCCTTCGGGCTCGTTACAGTGCGTTTACGCGGTCGAAAACCGTCCTCACACAGCCCCGTTTGTGCACCAATGAGTGGTTTCTAGGATAGTTGAGGGCCTGGTTTGCATTGGGCGTCTTTCTGTACACTCTACTGTTGAGTGTACCGTCAGGTGTTCGCGTAACGAGAAAGTCAATGAAGAGTAGTTTCTCGTTCTCGTCTTCTCTTGTAAACCGAATGTCAGGGAATATGCTGTTAAGCAAGTCTTGAAAACCCGATAGCTTGTCCTTTTGAATAATTGCGAATGTATCGTCCACGCATCGGCGCCAAAACGCACGTTTGTAGTAGCTGTAAGCAACCGTTTCCAGCTCTTTTAGGACCAATTCCGCAACAAGGATGGATATTGGGGAACCCATGGGCGGTTCTTTGATTTGTTTGTGTGTTCCTCCATCGAAGGTGAAAAAGGTTCGTTGGCAGAATGCAGTGTCTGGACCGAACACAGCACCATACGTATTCTGCCGTAAAACCTGATGGTCCATTTTACCTCAACAATTACACGTCAGTTGTTTCGGTAACGGAGCATTTAAAAAAAACAACAAATATTTCGAACTTCAAAAAAACTAGAATGGTTTAAATGTAGTAGGATACATCATGAAAAATTACATCCAACATGCGACCATTCGAAATGACCCTAGTTTCCAGCACAATCTGTAAATAAATCCGACGCGTCTATGTAGGACAAATGACAGCAAGAACCGTAAATCCTCTGAAGCCGGCTTTGCACAAAAAGATGCAATAAATGCAACTTCTAAGCAGGCTGTAAATTATTCAGGGTTTGAACCCCAAAATTCTGCCCTCCTTTATGCACACAATTCAGAAAGACGTGATCTTATGACACAACGGATCAAAAGGATATCTTGATTTTTCTTACACACAAAATACTTTACTTCATATGAGTGTCCATAATCCACAAACGAATGTATGCAATCGAAAATTACGCTTTTTGGTAAATGTACATATCGTCGGCGATCAGGCATAAGTGCATCCACATGCGGAACTTGTAATCTGGCTAAAATGATATGAATAAGGTTGCACCGTAATCGTCATAACCAAATTCATCAATTAATGTGCTCTAATTAAATATTAATCTCAGAATGTCGTCAAAAAGGGATTTATGCTCACTAACTGATAAGAGTTATGGCGATAGAAGTTGTGCTTATGACCAAATGAATAGTGTACAGTCGACTGTTGTACGTCGTGATTACCACTATTGCATATATAAGTAGTATAGCGTCATCTGGAGTTTGGATTTAAAGGCATTGCGTTTCTCACGGATGCAGATGGGAAACGCAAACTATGAGTAGTCAAACAATTAGCAACTAAGACATTTGCCGCGACGTTTCATCACCCGGAACACTGACTGATAATTTCTAACAGTCCATCTGCGCATGACACGCATGGTCTGGTCCGCGAAATTTCTCCAAACATTAATGGGGAGATGACTGTGATCTGAACGTCGTGCGACAGCCACGGGGCCTAGACGAAGAGGAAGCCATTCAGATTTGAAGTGGCGTCAGATTCTAGCTGGAAGTCGTGTCACTTCTGGCGAGTAAACAATCGGATGTCCTTCGTTTGGGGAGAGTAAAGCGCCGTGAGATTTACTTAGTGTTCGGCCGTATTAGGCAAATGATTAATTTAGAATTTGTAAGGTGACAGACATAGAGGTATGTCTGCCGTTTGTCCACACAATCATCTTGAGTGAGGTTTACTTTGTAAACGCCCGAGGTCGTTGAAAGACATCGGGACACATTTGCTCAAAATAGGTTTTCCATGCTTGTTTTCAGTGTATTCAGTGTATTAGGTAAGGCTAACGGGCTATGCGTTGGAAAAAGGTTTTCATGCATCGCCAAGTTGTTTTGTCCATGTAGCTGATTGAAACCTGCAAAGTTGATCGTTGAGTCAGTACAAAACAAGTGAACTGTTTTACATTATGGAAGAAGTAGCACAATGGATACTGGATACGCATACATAGTACGGCATCTAATGCCATTCGGGAGACCACTTTCTCAGAATTGTTGTTTGGATGCATATCGACTGTGGCGGAGGAATATCGTGGACATTATTATCGTCGTGTTCTGCTGAATTCATCGATTGCGGCCGCTAACTGTGACTTATACAACATGTATTTGTGGGCGCATGCAAATAGGTGGTTTTAAAATCAATGCGGCAGTTGACAGTCGCTTACTGACTAAGGCACACTTTGCCAGGATATTTACATTAAGGTTTAGAAGGCTTAATGTCTACACTCGTCCAAATCGCATGTGTGGGAGCTCTAGAATGTCTTAGATCCGCATCTAGCAATATCCAATCTAACGGAATGTCAACCGTAATTCTAAAATGTGTTTACAAATAGAAGGAATTATTTAATGGGAGTTTCCTATTAATTTACTTGCAGCATAATTCTGTAATATTTTAGCCGATCCAGGATGGCCGTTTACGGAAGAATTTCTTTTCGATGGCCCTTATAAACCGCACTTCCAAAATGCTTGCTTTGATCTTACGAATTTGCTTGTAGACTTGTTCTCTCCCCACAAAGGTCTAAATGAATTCTAAGGAAAAAATAATAAAAATTACATTTTTTAACTCCTTGTCAGGAAATCAGTTCTTATTCAAACTGCATACACGAAGATACAGTATAACTTTCAATTCAATAGCGTTTTGATTTCTAAATGTTCATAGGTGTAGGTGACTAACTAGGTCAATTACTAAGGAATTCCTGCTTCGGCAGTCAACTTACTGTATCAGATTTGGTGGACTCCAGACCTTTCAGTAGGTTTGGCGCGTAACTTGACCCACATATGATTAAACTCGCGCCGTCCGGCGGAGCCTAATAGCTCAAGTGGTTAGAGCGTTGGCTGTACTAAATCCTGCCCCTAACTGTGCGGTTTTGAATCGCATCGATACGTCCAGTATTTTACAGTTGGATAGCTATGCATTTCTAAAAGCTTTTAAGTCCGCTCTGCAGTTGCATTCCCTATATAAATTGCGTGTAAAGATATGTGTTGCTAAGATAGTGTCATATATGTCTCAAAGGTTTTACGATAACTTTAGTCAATACTGTCCGCTTCAGTAAAAATATTCACAAACATATTAGTATGATGATATTCGAGTGGACCTTTAATGACCGTGAAGACCCTTAGAATTGCAAACGCTTTTTGGACCGTCAGACGTATAACATTTGGATATGTGATTGACTGCAAAATCATTACGTATATGCGACTACCTGCAATTATTATACTTGCATAAGTTCACTGTTTAGTCAGTGCACATTTTTGTCATTGAGTCTCGCCACACCTTAGTAAGTAAAAGTAGGCACGAAAAAACCTTCATTTGGCGGCGGCCAAACAGGCGGCCACAGGCTTACCTTACAGCTACCTGTCGTACGGATGTTTGTTCAATAGGTGTGCTAGTGGTTTTTTTGCCAGATATTTGACCACATTTTGACAGATGTGCATGTTTAAATGCGTATGTTGAACATAGACTCAACAGCTCATCCATAGGTTTACTTTAAACATGACGCTTTCTTTTCAGAATCTAAAATCCGGAATTTATAATGACCCGATGAACGAAATCATCTATACACGTCACAGACTCCACGGTCTTACATTAAAGGCCACTGTCGACATCACTTACTGGGAGAAGGAAAATAACCCGCCAAATATGACTCGACTGTCTTTGTTAGATATGTCCCACGCAAACACGAATACTGCAGGCAGTTCATACAAACTCGCCGACCCCGATTTATTAAACCTGGTAAATATGCGTGAGACCGATTTCTATCTATTTATTACAAGGAATTTTTTAAGGCCCTGTCCACATATTGTGATCAGTAACTATTACCTGTATGAAACATTGTGAGTTCTTCAAAACATTCGACTTCCGCAATCTAAAAATTCAGTTGAAGAAATTTTCGTTTTTGAAAACATTGTTTTCTTTGTCAGACTGCTGCAAATATTGAGTGCTAGTAACTGCATGGCGGATGATGAACAACATAACTATCCGTTAAGTAATGGACTGAAACATGGTTAGTCCACTAACGTGATGAAAAGTAATTGGCAATTGCTTGCGTTTTAAGCCGTGTTCTTGCAAAAACCTCAGAGACAACGAAAGGATGTAGGACCCACAAGTAACTTGAGCTAGCTAGTGGAACGTGCCAAACGTTCAATGCTAGTAAAAGGGCGTTTTATGGGTGGGGCAATACATATAGCGGCAAGCAAGATCACACAGAAAATAGAAGAGTTTCTATCAAAATTCTCATAGTACGCTGTCATTTAGGTAAGGGCTTGAGCGCGAAAATTAAAAAAAATGAGAAACAAGCATTTTTAGAACTAACGGACTTTGGATAAAGCGGCGCTGGTAAGTCGTCATTTAGTCAGGCATTTAAACATACTTTAAACATTAACTACGGCGATATTTTTAGTCACGGTCGATTTTAGGATATACATGTGTAGCTTCCACATACCTGTGGACCCTACGCTTTACAGTTACCATCTCAAAACAAAAGCAAAAATTTCAGACAGAGTACTGCACGCAGAAATTATTTAGTCTAGCAGAGGGTTCAGTATGTCTTACTTACTAAAACTATCATACGGTAATGTTGGCATTTTACCACTTAACATGGTGTGGAGACGAACTGCATACCTGAGTGTAAAATAAGATGTGTTGTGGATATGCAGCAGTGTCAAGTGTGATCATAAATGCAAACGAGCCCAGTAGAGTAGACGAGTCCAAGCATGTGAGTCAACGTGAGCGTATGATAATATACTATATAGAGGAGAAAAACATGTCCAAGCTCATACGGTAATTTCATTTCTGAGATTCATTAATCTACATGAAGAAGTTATAGAAATTTTGCTTTCTCTGATGGATACAGTTTCTACCATGGCAGGCAGCCTGTTTTGCGGATGATGGAATAACGATGACGAACATTGTTTGTTAATTACCAATTCTATCGGTGTCAGTTTAGCTCAAGGTTGAAATCAGTCTTCTGCACTAACGTCAGAACGTATGCCTGGAATGCAAATATTATAATTCTATTCTAGGAAGTGCATGTTCAAATTTCCTAAAGTTTTCCCATACCACCTTGTACAAACATTTTACTTGCGCAATTTTCCGTAAATATCCTTGTAGGCAACCATGCCCTCCGTTTGGAACTCATTTTTAAAGACCGCCTTAAACGGTAAAAATAGTTTGATGCATGATTCAGTATGACATTTGTACGTCCTTAACCCGCTTCTGCTTCGGAAGTATGTCAGATAACTATGGTCATCTATGTAGGACTTCTCAAAATGTTTAAGCTGAAGCGCCCAAGGACCCCTCCACAGTTTAGTGCTGGTGTTCGATCCTTCGTCGGCGCTTATTTGCGTATCTCTGCACCACATCTTTTTAGGAAGAAACGTCTTTTACTTTTGAACCGTAATGCCTAATGCGAACCGCCTCCCAGTGGAGGCGCTAAAGAAGGCGCTGGTTTGTAGACTTAATTTATGATTCAAAATGGCTTAGGTGGAGGAAAAGGGACAAAGAGGTGAACAATAAACTTTACTTGGTAGCCGCCCATGGGTTTCCGCCGAAGCACATATTTGTCTTCGGGTGCGTACTCGAATCATGGGTGGTCGGACGACGTAGTATCGAATCTGCTGCATGAAGCATGACACTCAACCGACGATTCGATGTATATATGGATCGATCTGGCCACCAATTATCAAACATATTGCAAAAAACAACTGCCTAGCTGGTATTAATTCTCGGCTGAGATGAGGACTTCAGATGTGTGGTTCTTTTACCCCTAGACCTCGGGCTCAAATACGCATCCGAAACATGAATGATCAAACTACTTGTCCCTGACATCAACGTACCTGGGTAGATCAAGCTGACAGCCATTAATCGCGGGTGGTAAACGGTCGCCAATGTTTTGCAAACTAGATTTTCATAATTAGCAGTAGGTTATAGCGGCCGAGAACTGTCGAAGGACTGTTGAATGCGCTCTTATATTCTCTAAAATTAGGCTGTGGCGCAGAAATTTCAATTAATCCTCTTAGTTAAATGTCAGTAATACTTTGACAGCATACATGAAAACGCAGTCCAGAATATCGCAGCAGCTAGAAGCATGGAAGCGCAAGGGTCATCATGACCTTCAAGTTCGGTCGCGAATAAAAAGAATTGGAGGTGGAGGGCAGTTGCTACAATGGTGTATTCTTCACAAAATAACTTGAGAGGCGTTTGACAGGAGTTGGCAATCGTGACAGTGCCGACAGTGGAACAGCCCTCCAGCGCCTTAGGCGAGGTCATGTCTGCGTCCGCCTCTAAGATGGTTGGTCATTTTGAACAGCAAGCGTTGGCTGAGGGCCAGGCTGCAATAGGTGCGCGCTTACAAGTTCTGGCGAGAGGCCCAGCATTGCTGCATGCAACTAGAGTTACGCCACTAAAAGCACAGTTATAATGTCATAGATGTAGAGCGCAAGTAGTAAAAGAAAATCCATCACACGTCTATGAAAACTGCTGCCAATAATTCCAAAAACAGGCCAAGTATTTGTCTAGGAAAAACAGACTATTTTAAGGTGTTTTAATAAAACAGAAATTCTATTTAAGCATATGTTACTTATCTTCTAACTGAAATTCAACCGCAAAGATTAATAGGTATTGCAAGGCATTTGTAAATGAATTGATAATTAAATGAATTGAAGAAGGAGAAACGATTGCTGGGACAAGAGCATGACGTTTATGATTCCTGCTCAAACCCATAATCAGAGACGAAAACAGATTTGAATGGTTCATACACAAGGGGCTGCAGTATTTATAGGATGCAGACGCCATGCTACTGCATACCCATGAATGTTCACGGCTTCCCCCTTCATCCGGGATCGTCGCACTTGTTGGGCTAATTGTTTGATATCCTACATTCGAGTCAATAATTTCATCACGTGCGTTGTGTGTTGGTGTGATGATTGCTCGACCATCTGGCGCACCGACTCTGGTTTTGGGAAAAGTGCTCAATCGTGCGCTCCCCGCGTGGCTAATTACTCCGCCTAGGCGAAGTCTCAGCACCAAGTATGGAAAGGGAAGTTAATGGACTGAGGGCCAGTAAACCATGATCCAAGTAGCCCCCGGCTTACGCGGTTGTCACCTCTTGCGAGTTTTTCGGCCTCCTCGAATTTGAATGTTTGGCCGGATCTCGTCGAATGAGCCGCAACTTGAGAACTGGCGTCATTTCTCCGCACCGCTGCAGCGTGTTTGGCCATTCACATTCGGAACTGTCTTCCGGTTTCGCTGACGTAGTTGCTTTGTCCGCAACTGCACCAGATCCGATAAACGACTCCATACGTTTCTTAGTGTGCCAGTAGGTCTTTCTCCGTTTCTTCGCTTCTTTTGTCAATTAACTGAATTATCTAATCATATTGCACGACGGAAGGGTCTGGAGCCGGACTGGGTTATTAAAGCGAACTTCTAAAATTTTGCCAATTTTAGTTTTATTAAATCATTAAGGTCCAGATGTTTGAAGGCATTTTTGAAGACATATTAGTTAGTAGATCGACTGTCCGCAGAGGCCTCCACGCATTAGCATTAGGACTAAAACGAGGGGATTTTGCTGCGACATAAATCGTCTACAGCCCAAAGACAAATGGGTAAAACAACGCGTAAACTATTCTTTTCGAGACAATCGTTTTTGCATCGGATCGTGACCGCTGACGAAAGTGCATTTTTTATCATTAAACTAAAGGCAAATCCCTGGGTGACGCCTAGATAAATATCAATACCAACATCAAGTCGGAATCCCCACGCAAGCAAGGTCATAGAGACTTTCTTATCTCAAACAAAAGGAATTGTGTATAATGCGATGCCAAATCCATCGGAAAATATAGTGCTGATCAACACCAGCACGAAGTAACTCATTTCAATTGTCACTGAAGAACAAAAATAAGAATATAATGAACGTAACAATAAGATATCCTTTTGATAGGAAAACTCTAGGCCTCATGGGGCGAAATGAGTAGAGGAAAATGTAAGCATTTTGTTTGGAATTCTATCCCACGCCGTATTCAACTAACATGCTTAATCAGATTATCATTCGATCCCTCCTAACCATGTGACCATGTTGAGTAGCGCTGCAGCACCAATGGAGGAGGTATTTTGCTGGCGGACGACCTAACATCGCCGGCAGTTTTTTTCTAACATTGAATCGATCTGTTAGCCATAAAGTGGAAAAGGAACAGCATCATCAACTGGAAAAAGTTGAAATAAAATATAGTGTATGGGCATCTGGAGGCAAACGTTATCTTAAATCGCATATGCGTCACGAATTATTATCTACTTACAATTACTAGTCGACCTTCATCCTAATATCGGATGTTTGTTAATTATGGAAGCTAGGCACCAATCGTCGTCGCTTTCCTTTTGAGTCTCTGAGGCATGTCTTTCAAGTCTCAGCGGCATGTAGCGCAGAACGCCGTGGGTTTACCTGCAGACGTCAGCATGGGTTATAGGGCTTATTCACGCACATGTAGAAAGCACGTCATCCACGGGTAGACGGTGTTTTCTTCCCTCGGCATAACGCAACCTTTATCACCAGAGATCTTCGAAAGCGCTAAGCGTCGTAAGTGAAAAGCGTTATTGATTTACTGCTGAAGACAGCATTAGATTTGATTGACATAAGAAGAGAATGCAGGACAGGCGGCGTAGTGCTGGTTTGTCTGGAGTTTTCGGGCGAACGTAAAGAGGTCAGAAATATTTTGTGTACTGGCGCATGTCTGGATTTGCAAAATTAGTCGGCTTCTTGAAATGACATGTCTCTTGGTCGTCCTGTCGGTCAGGTCGTCGCAGGCTGCTATGGTTCTGCTCTGAATTGGCGTCGCCCTTAGCACGAATTCTAGCCACTCCAGGCGAGTAAACAATCTCAAGCCCCTGATTAGGTGATCAAGATTATAGTTTGACGAGTGTGGCTGGTCTCACTTAGTGGTTAGCCGTATTCGATAGATGAGCTGAAGCTTAATCACTCGGAAAGTCTGAGGAGGCGAACAACCTCTGGGCGCATAAAGGACATGAATGACATCTGTACAGACTCTCGTATTCAGTGAGGTCCGTGACAGTGTTGGTAGTTTTACTTTTGCTCATGTTGAATCGCAAGTTGCAGAGGGCATGCGTGTTTGTCAAGCGTTCCCATACTTTTTCAAAATGTTTGGTCGTTACAACCGATTAAAATTTGCAGATACGTTTGGGTAGTACATTGTAGTAAGCGGACCGTCCTGGGGTTCCAGCTGGGAGACTAGTTCCTGACTAACGTCGGCGCGCTTGATTAATGAGATAGAAACGGGGTCGCTTTATCCTTTCCTGAATAGTTAGACTTCGATTTAGGCATCGGGCGATCAGAAAATATGCCAAAGCACCAGGGATGATCCGAGCAGTCAAAGAAAGCACAACAGATAAACAATAAATTGGGAGGGGCGGGTATGAAAAGGGGAGAACAAGGAGAGTCAGAGGCGCGGCAAGTCTCAGGGGGTAGAAGGGGAAGAGATAACGCTTGCTGGTCATGAAAATGCTTTTGGAGGTACAGTATCCACAGGGTCTTGAACGGTGTCTTGATGTAGTCCGCTGTACTATCCTGAAACGCCAGAGAGAAGACGCACACTCAAACCACGGCACAAAACCTCCTGTCTCCTTTTGCCCGCTCACCCGTTGTTCTTCCTCTTTCAAACAAACCTGCCTTTCCGGTTCTTACCACGTCAAAAAGAAGCGAACTGTTTGCACGTTATCAAGGAATTGACAAAGTAGTTGTTGGACGTGCAGGAGCAGGATGGCATTTGGTGCTATTGAGGGGAATGTGTTCATAACCCCTGGGACATCAACGCTCCTCGGATATATGCTAACAGTGGCTGCCGGTTTAAGTGCATATAATCATCTCATTTTCTTGATTTGTCAGAGACTGTTTGGTCCGCTGTCGTGCCAATAAAAACAGTATCAGGGGAAGTCATTATCCTGTATCGGCGTCACTTTTATTCTATGTACTGTTTGAAATGAAGTCTAATCATCCGACCTCATGAAGTGTTAGCAGAAAGTCAACTAGTCGTCTTCGACTAGGAAGAGTTACTTACATGGAATTGTAGCATTGGTCACCACGCAACATAAACTCGCGATATTTCGGTCACAACATAGTGCTGTCTTCAGAATGCGTTTTTCCGGTCCCCTGCAAAACCACACTCGCTAAAATAGCGCGCGTGTATTTCAATTGACTCGCGATACTTAAATAAATTCAACTGTATGCGTCAGTGATATGTGCGCTAAAAGTTCTATATGTTGCAGTTTTCAAAACGATTGTTCTATTTTCCTTACCTATGGTTTATTGTGAGTTTAGACCTTTCCTGGGACGGAGCACGGACATTTATGTGTGCCGATATAAACACTCCATGAAATGTTCTAACACCTTCCTTTTCACGAAAACGCGTGAACACCAAACCGTCGATTTTAATCTAACTAATGTAAAATGCTCCATTTCGTGGATCCCACAGGAGTCAACAGTCTCCTTCGGTGTACCATTGTGGCAAATCCCTAAGCAGTTAAAATTAATTATATATGCAGGAACAGATTTCCATTTGTTTCAATAGCTGCCCGACAAACGCCTCGTTCAAATGTACTCTATTACGGTAATAATTGAAAGAATACGCACGGAAATGTCAAACCTACGCAAAATGCTTATTATTAACTGATATCCACCTTGCTAGTGTGTCTTTAGTTTATTTCAGTAATCGTCTGGCGTCACTCAGTAGGCCATGTTATTTTTCAACCAACGTGGGCACCTGCTAGTCTACATAGAAGAAGCAGGCCTCACTTTAGTTCACAGCGCTGATCTTTGTTATGCAAAACCCGAAAATATATAGCAATTAAAGATCATAGGAATATAAAAGCATGCGTTTCAATTGAAATCCAGCTAACAAACGACCGTATGACGACATGACCGTAGACGTTGTCACCGACAACAGTAATAGACACTTTACCATGATCAATCAATGTTAATCCTGTCCGGCTGCTATATACCAGGAGTCCAAACAAGAATCCGATGCGCAGCTTTTGGTTTTGTACCCAAAGATCGTGCATACACATTTCGAAAAAAATAACGATTTCTGAAACTAGAACGTCTAAATCACAAACATGGTTTTCCACCAGACATCCACTTTTATTTGGCATTGTACAGTAGTAATTTGATAAAAGCTGAATTTCTGGGCGTTTTACCGGCCGAAATCCGGATATTCAATATCGCCGAAGAATGAGAAACTATCGACTTTGCAACGGACCAATCAGATGCGCCATCTTGCCAGGATTTAGGCCTAGTCAGACATGAAGTTTTAGCCGGGTCCTTTCAAGTGGACCACGACCAGACAGCTAGTGTTATTCCCTCACGCTGCTGCTCCTGCTGCCACTGCATGTTCGGTCATTCGCGTCTGGGGTTTCCATTTATTTGCGCCGGTGTAACCGCTTTGTCTCCAACACCAGCAGATCAGGCAAACAGTCGGCGGTGTTGATTACAAAACGCCCATTATGAGAGTCGTCCGCAAGCATAGCAGAGAACATGAGAATGAAAAGGGTAGGAGCAATTGCACAGTCCTGTCTCAAAAGGAATGCGTAACTGGCATCCACCGCCTTCATCTGACCCTGTTTCGAAAAACCGGTTTCGCTGAGGGCGGCGATGTTCACCTTGTGGCGCACCAGTTTTCGAATCATTGATGCCGTTCTCCTTGCCCATCGGATGCTTAGCGGTTCGTCTAAAATAGGATTTATTTTGCTGCTTTGACCGTGGGTTTTGCATCTAGAAATCACAGTGTCCTTCCAAATGACGTGATCACGTTGTTAGTTTATGAAACCTTGTTCAGCCCCCTCCCTGCGAGGAGGTAGGCAGTGCTGTCCCTAAACGTTAATGCCTAGACATCGCAAACGGCTGTCAAATTTAACTAGGAGTCAAAGCTTTGTTTAATGGGAGAACAACTTGAGTTAGTCTGGGCCACCCATGGGACTGCATGTCATCGTCTCCATAGTTACTTTTGAAAGTGGGAATAAAATAGGCCGATGGGAGCGAAATCATATTTATGGGCGTGGAAACACACTGATGGGTATTCCGAGTCGGTTTATTTCACCAATTGGAACGATTACGGGAGTGTGGCCTTCAGTCAGAGCCTGACTACACAGAGCCAGGGAAGAAGGGTCGTGTGGAGCAGTCGCCATTTGCATGCTATGAATCGCCACACCTTTGTGGTTTGTCTCTAGTCGGACGATGCTCATCCCTATTCTTCTACTACTATTGCACGACAGTTTTTGCGGATACACTCAGTATTTGGAATAACCTTTTTAGGGTTGTTAATCGTCGCAAACCGGTCCCGCTGTAAGTAGGAATTTTCTTTATTTATGAATTCAGGACAGCCTCCATATAATGTCGCCTCCATTAAAGTCTTGATCCAACGGAGAGGAACTGTACATAGTTACATTAATGTTGGTGAATTGGTTCGTTCGCAAAGGGCACTATGTCATGCTTGACACTACCAGGTGGCGTAATAAACTTCGTCTACAATAAGCGTTTTTCCAGTTTGCAAATAAAGATTCGCGTATTTCTGTTTTCAGATGGGCTTAAGAGGCCTCACTCAAATTTCATGGGCGGTCGGTTTGATATCAGGACTTAAAGGTTTACTTTTACGGGTACGGGTTTTGCTTAAGGTTGGGAGGTTTGGGGTTGATGTTATAGTTACTGTGATATTTAGACATGGGTCTAATTTCACCTCCGAAATCTCGCGTCAGACCGCCTGCAGTGCGGAGATACATTTTTTCATAGCCGTATGCAACAGCCTTAGCCTAAATGTCTTTACCTTTCACGCATATTGTCGAAAGTTCAAAACGATGCTTACATTGGGAAGTTTGAATGCTCAATCTCATAACATATCGGAATTGTCACTTTGCCGCAATCATGCAGTAGTCCGATTAAACGGCCCTGTCTGGATTCTGACTAAATCGGTATCGATATTCTGATAATAAGTGCCGTCTTTGGGAATCTTTGAAGCTGCTTCAGTGGCCTCTACTTGGTTGTTTGTTCCCCTATCACTGGCCAGCAGCGGTTTGCTCCATGCAGTCATGAAATATAACCATCTGCAACTCTTTAAGTACTGCAAGTGGGTTATCTGATTATAATGACACTACACTGTGGGTATGGGCGTAGGTGCGGTTGATAAGCGAGACAGGATGCATGTCCAGTTGGGCCTTAAATAAATCCACACTTGAGAACAGAACAACATCAGCATGCATGAGTTTCACGCTGCAACCACTATGCTGTTGAAGAAAAACCCTTGTCCATCAATCACAGCTTTCTCTGTTTGTGGTTTCAGAGACGACCAAAAACAAAACAACATTCCAAGCCATTTATAGAGCGGAAAACTAGCATGAGATCCCCTAACATCTGTCTGTAGGTAAGGACAACGAGGTTAAGAATGACTTCACTACAGCTGCGATTTTGCTGACTGATTTGGCATACGCCGTGTTAAATGAGGTTTGTGCATTAACACCCCAATTCGATCCTCTGTCGACTCCCTCGCAACAGGTGGTATACCAGCTTGTCGTTTTCAGGTGACGTTGGAACAGGCGGCCGATGTAACTCATTCTCTGGTGTGGCTTCGTGAGTTCATTGGGCCATCCGCAGGTGAAGCAGTTTAGCACCGTTCTCGTCCATGAACTCGCAATACCTCGTCTTCTCTCGGTCCATCCTCTGACGGTATTTGCGAAGCGCGTAAGGCACAAGCAGTTCGCCGATATTACTGAGTGAGAATGAACACCGTCAAGCGAATAAACGTCTGCTTACTGATGTCGCATCCTCTCAATAAATTGTACATGGAACTTCCTTATTCGTTTCTATAACCATGCAGTCCGTTTGTCCACACGCTAGCTGTCAGTCGTTTTGAACTATGGACAATTTTAACAGTTGGCTCTATTCCGGCATTTAAATTTGGACTGCGACCTCTCGATAAAATGATCTGAATGACACGGAAGTTCACCAGCAGAGGCCAGGTTTTCGGAAGTGTCGTCAATTCTTTAACTTCCTATTGGGAATGGTGCACATGAGTCACCTGCTTGGAGACAGTAACGCGCAAAAAGAAAATGCCATATTATGAGGTACATTTTAATTCTATTATTATTCAAGAAAGTTGTCTGCCTTATGACTTGCAAAGTTTTCTACTGCTAATAGTTACTGATTACAATCTACTATTTGAAAGGTCAGGAAACCCCGCCTTAGAAACCAATACAAGTCTTTAGCATTCATTTTTGACAGTTTTAATAAATCCGCGTTAACGAATTCATAAGCACATTGTGCAAAATTTGAAACTGTATCACAAATTTCCAGGTAAGACAATCGAATCATATTTGGGAGGTTGTTTTCCTTTTTCCAATATGTTATATCGATAGTTGCCTTTTATGATGCACCAGGTAGATTAAATATAAAATATCTTCCAAATTTTCGGAAACCACTACGCATTCCCGATTGCAAACTCTGAAAAAAAGAAATATGTTCATAGTATGAAAGCATGAGTACAATAACAAACAGGAGGATAAAGCATTATGCACGTAGAAATTCGTGTAAAATTTTCTGACATGGTATGAACTTCTGGTTCCATCCTTTTGCTTACCTCTTTGTATACATGAATTTGAACGTTGGGAGTTTGAGATATACATGTGTACTGTACGTATCTTGCAGGCGATATGTCACGGGAAAATGCGCATTCAAAGAGAAACGATGACTGCGCGATTATTATTTGGAAGATAAGGCGCGCTCGTTCACTTGGCAGCCCTTTCCATAGACGGCGTTGATATGCTCGTCGCACCAGGTATTCGGCGACCTCACTGGGGATGATATCGTCCTCATTTCGCGGGCATTTGGGCACTTCTGGAAACACGGATATGCAGGAAACTGGTAATCCAGTTACAAATAGGAAGGTCTATCTCAGACATAACGATTGATAAGCATACGAGTTTCCACTATCCAGTAATCTCCATTCCCAGCATTCGTATCACATAGACTTCTGCTGTTTACGGCTTCATACCTTCAACGCGTACGTTTCGGCTTTTTGACCAAACCCGAGTCACACAATTATAAGTCTTTCCAGGAAGTAGTCCGCAGGTAAGCAGTGCTCACTTTACTTGGCTGTCAGACAGCCACCAAAACGATAAGCGCCTATTTGCGAGATAAGTTAAGCTCTTCACGTATCTTTTCGAAAAATGTGGGAGGTTATTCGCCAGACTTTGTTGTCCAATGTGGCAATTAATTTAAATGATTTATTTTGTGTCATCCGTCTGTTATTTTGCTGCCGGTTTTTAGAAAGAATAAAAGAGAGCTATAACTACAGAGCAATCTCAAGTGCTCATAATGCACGAAAGCAGATAATTTATCGTTTTCAATAAGGCTACTTACACTTAATTAAGCTGGCCAGACACCTTACGGCCGGTAGGACATAAGCGGTCCGCGTTAAACATACATGAAATTTATTTGACAAACAATGTAAGACCATTGCATTAAGATTAATCGGCACCTCACACGCTTAGACTTCTCTGTTTATGTTAACTCAGATTGGAAAGTCCTAAGTTATCTAAAAAGGGAACTTACGTTTCAGGAATAAGCAACATTCCGTACACTGAAACACAAAGTACAGCAGGACGAGACATTCCATCTTTCCATCAAACAAGCGCATTTCTTAGATTTACAAATTACTGCAGATTCAGCAACTAGTGAGACGTGAGAAAAGACCGCCCTAGAATCACTAGCCGCGTGTATGGTACTTTTGCAGTGGCTTGTTTTCATAGAAAGATGTGCACAACCGCATAATGTCTAAATTTGCATTATGTCATAAGCTTGAAAACGAGTCTCATATCTTATGCAAAATAGGATTAATCGGTTAATGTCTTTGTCATCTGACATTTACACGTTTGCGGACCTAGGTGACAGGGTCGAGTTAAGAGGTCAAAGCGTATAATCAGTTGGTGACAGGTATACCGTCGTTACCGACGATGCCCAACCTGTGCTTCCGAGCAGGGTGAGGTCGTGATAGTAACTTGTCCACTAATGAGTTAAAAGTTACAGTAAACCTGCGATGCATATGCCACAATCTCGCCTCCTCCAAATTTACACGGTGGTGAGCGCAGGTTGTTGGCACATCGTACCGCTACATTCACTGGTCCACAACGTACACTGAGTTGGGTTTTATATCCCAGGAGAATCAGGGGGACAGCACAGATACCATCTGCGCCTCCCACAGCACCCCAACGTTGGAATTTGTCAGGTGTACACATACCGAATAACGCCCAATGGAGTCCGATCTAGCCGCAGTGATGATCCAGCACATCTACCGTGTAAACTGTCATAGAGGCACACACTACGGTGATATTATGTATTCAGTGGCCCGCAATTTGCTACAAACTGTGGAGTAAATGCCAATTCAGTTGAATTATTGCCGACCGAGGACAGTTTACAAGCCAGAAATAGTCACTAGCCGCTTGGCCTATATTCTCTATGCTAGATCATTATATCCCCGTTTACCGGACCGTGATTTAGACAACTGGGGTCGTTTTTGTCAGCAATGAAATTTCTATGATTTGTACTTCTAATTGTGTTTTGTTTGATGGTTAACACTGTCAAGCCTCCCAGCTCTATTTGTTTATATCTCCCATTATTTCTATCATTTCAAGCGTCTGTAACTTTGCAAGCAATAGGGTTTACAAAAATACTATGCTCATGACCCACTAGTCCTGCTCTGTGTCACAACTATTTAATTCCCTGCAATGATGGTCCCACATAAAAATGTTTAGCCGGTAGGTCTATTTTTTCCTAGAAGGAGTACAACTTAACCTAAAGTGTTTGACTTTCTGCCCATATGTATCTCTACTGATACTACACGTAAACGCGCGCATACTTCCCATTCAGTCACGCAGAGTGCTTTTGTAATAATACGAATTTAACGTTCTTTTAGGGACGGCAATTTATTCCACAGTGGTGTTACGCGTAATCAAAAATAATTGGTCTTTCACTGCCGAACGTAGGCGAACATGAGCGGATACTTACTAGTATGCATGTTGCATTTACGATACGCCGTAACTTCGAGGATACAACAATCATTTTTTGACCTGTGATCGCACAATGCGACTTCAATTAAATTCGACTACTGACAAGGATCCATATATGGGAAAATGCGAGCATACTTGTTATAAATGTGGCATTCATTGGACGCAGCATCCGAGGAGGCTTGCTTATGTTTTCAGAAGATGCACACACGCGAATGGGTATATTTTTACGGACTTGCACAACGGTCAGTTAGCCTAAACATATCATTCAAACAGCAAGTTGAACCTGACTAAATGTTGTGTATACGTCTAAAATCTGATTGAGAGATCAAGGTTACTTCCTCGGAGTGTTGGGCTGAGGTATGCAGAGATGCGTTTGAAGTATATTAACATAACAGAAGTTCCTCAGAATAGCTAGGTGGTCATCAAATATTTGAGGTCACGTAATGGCAGTGAGCACTTCTTTGGGAGAGGAGCGATATCATGAAATATAACTCAGACGCTTTAAGAGGCATAAAATGTTATGCTTATGCTATAAGCCCACAAAGACAAGACTTACGTGTGCGTAAATAAAAATGAATCGAAGACTATGGTAATATCTTATATAGATATTTGAACTAAACCTTAAAACCTCCAACAGATCGCGGTAAGTTAAATTGATCGAAACTGCAAAATCAGTTGTAACCCCCAAGGTGAAACCGATACCCATTTTTGGCATTAAGTTTCGTTTACTCCAATAAATGTCAGAGGTCACACTGTAGCTCAAGTTTCTTTGTAATTTATACGTATGCCTGCTAGTCTATGAAGGAATAATTACCATCCTTCGCGTCACAACATGAAGCATTTAGTACCAAAACCCCCATTACATAACAAGAGGCGAGCAAATCAAGATAAGCGGAATGCGTCTTTGTTGGAACGACAATAGCGGTCGCTGAAAACAATTAGTAAATGACAATCCTGCCCAGACGCAGAGTGTCGGGAATCTAAACACGGATAAAACACATCCAGTTCGGTTTTAGACGATGTGTGTTTGAACACTCGTTGACTATTTTCAGCGATTGCGAATATACATTTCTGAAGACTCAGTTATTTCTGCAACCAACAATGTTAGGTTTTAAAGTTGGTTTTCCATTAAGTAAACGTTCATTCTCTGCATTTTGACGATAATAGGCCGCAGAACATGTTTCTTAACACCGCAGTAGAATGAAAATCAAAAGTTGTTTTGACGGACGGCAGTGCGTATATGTGATTCAGTGGCCCTACTTATGTCTATATAAGTAACTGGCACCAACTGGTTTATATCCATGCGTAATTGTAAATTAATGCACCACACAACATCCTGGAACGCTCGTATTCGGCAAATTGATGATGATATCACCATCATTTCTTCTTATAAGTGTTTAACGGCTTATTAATTTGGTTTTTTTCTAAATATTAGTAACCTGAGGATATAAACATCATTCATGCTGGCGATCATTACGTCGTGGACCTAGATATGTGGATAAACAGACCTGTGCTTTGGTTATTTCAGAGCGATATTCTATAGGCAGATATGTGCTGTCAGGCGACGCGTGTCAGCCCACATGTCCACGTGCGACCAATGATCGTGCGACAGTTTGACTGCCAACGTGGTTAATTACTGAAACTGCTATAGTATATTAGTAGTGAATCTGTATTGCTCTGACAAAAAAATGATTCCTCTAATCGCTGTTCTCATCTTGTTTCATTGTGCAGAATGCTGTTTTTTCAAAAAGGGTGAGTAATTTTGAAGACTTACATACTTCCTCAACACATAAGAAATATAGCATAGAAAATTGGGGAAATACTTTGGCTTTGCTACATCCTAACTATACTGATCGTTTCCTGTTCAGCGATTGCATAGTAGTGATTCCTGAAACATTCTTTTAACAACAGTCGTTTTCCTCAAAATGCTCACTTATAAATGCTTTTGTCTTTTATATCCTCAGGAATACCGAAATGTCCAAGAAATGACGAAGATATCATTCCCGATGAAGTCGCTGAATATCTGGCACGTCAGGCCTACCGTCATGGCTTTGAAAAAGTAATATCCCTGGCAGATAATTCACAGTTAAAACTCAAAGTGCTCATACATCAGACATCCCTACATTTCGACTGCACATTCTTAAGGGATGTAGCACCCGCAAAATACCTACCGTACACATGCCGATCGCAATTTTCTGATGCCGAAATACATATCAAACATCAAGTAAGATAGTGAAGATGAGATGTATTCGTATTTTATAACTACTTTCTAGTAATTGGCACAACATAATAATTATTATGAATTGCATAATACTTTTTCTTAGGAACGACCCCAGAAAATAGTTACAAACTTCTGGAGAGATATCGGATGTTTTAATTTCATTATACCCAACTTGTCATTAAAGGCGACCCTCGATATCACTTATTGGAAAAGGGAATTTGACTCGCCAAATAGGATTCGACTGTCCTCTGTTGAGATTTACAGTTCTCATACAAATGCTCATAAATGCGCTTATGAACCCATCAACTCCAGTTTATTAGGCTTGTTAGATATGTGGTCTCCTGACGTTTATTTATTATTGAGCTGGGGCTTTTTGGATGTTCACTTCAAAGAATGTCTTCAGTAACCATGGATATGGCTTAACTGTCAAAGAAGCGGAACTGACTGCTTTACAATAAGGATAAAGGAATACATTTTCTATTTTGACATATGATTTCCGTACGCTTGGATTTTTATGTGCAGTATGTCTATCCCGCTGGCAAGTCAGAATACCAAAAGCCATTTTGTACATTTGATTTTAGCCCGTAATTTATTTGGGGGTTTTACGCAGACTGTCATAGGTTATAATGAATGGAATCCATAGACATCAAGATACGCGGATGAAACCAATTAATTTCACCTGTTCTAGGACATGTAGTCGTAAAACGTCAGCTCGTGACAAATACCTGGCAGGAGATTCGTCGAGAAATAGTCGGCGTGTTGTCCTTATTTCAAATTCGACCTGAAGCAGGGCAAAGTTTAAGGACCGTTCGTAATCGCCAAGATATTATCACTTCAAACAAGGCAATGATGATTTAGCATTTATAAAACAAGGCGTCAAGTTCCAACAATCTTCCCTGTCATTGTAAGCAGTTGGGGACTATTGAAAACAAATGTTCGCACGATAAACAGACGATGCGGCGAAACTAGGGGTAATACTGTCGGATCTTTCCAAGTTTTCGAAATCCGAAAAGGTTGAGGATCACACAGAGTCTGTCGAGTGTCCGTTGATGATTATTCTCAGAGATCTCTGCAAAAAAGGTTATTTGTCTAGTAAAGAGTACAGGCGAGTGAGTCTGGTGGGCACGACAATACCAAGAATGCATGATCTTCCTAAAATCCACAGACAAGGGCTGCCCCTACGTCTAATGTTGGATATGAGGAATTCGCCCTATCGCACCGTTGCAAAATGGTTAGTGGATAGACTGAAACTACAGCAAGGTAATCCGTTCCCTCGAAATCTGAAAGACTCCTTTGAGTTCGTTGAAACTATCAAAAATATTAACGTTGGCGGACGGAGGATGCCATTACTAAATGTATGATCGCTGTTTACCAGCGTACCCGTGTCAGAAACAGTAAATTATCTTTATGATATTATTCGTGACACGAATTACCTATAGGCATGCCAGTAAAACGCTAAAAGAACTACGGACGTGCACAAAATGTCCAGTTTTCGTGCAATGTTCAACTATACAGACAATTAAATGGCGTGGCCATGCGATCACCTCTTGGACAGTTCCTTGCAAATAATTTTATTGGCAAATTAGAGAAGTCAATATTACCAGATGCCATTAATGACCTTGTCGTCTACGTAGTACGGGGACGATATCTTCTATCAGCATGTGTCTACGGACGCAATGGCTCTCGGCCCCTAGTCGGCCTCTCTGTCAGTCCAGGGCAGATTTCTTTGACGTAATATTGCACCATAGCACGAATTTTTGCAATTACAGGGCTGCATACATTACCAAGCTCCTAGGTCGACGAGAGTAAACGACCCAGTATTCAGTTAGTTTGCGGGCTCATTCAGTGATTGGAAATCAAACATAATCAACTCGCAATGAGCAGGTGATATACATATATGTGTGACTGAAGTCTGTGCAGTAAATCATCCTGAGTGAGGTCTATAACACTAACTGTTTATATTTCTAACTGTGTTCACGCCCAACAGCAGTTTCTCGATATCACCAATTAAAACTAGAACGCGTTAGCTCAAGGTATGTTTTGCAGGTTGATTTTCATTTGATGTAGTTTATTTGGTAAGGGTAACCGGCAATGCGTATGCATAGATTACCCTTCATTGTTAACTTGGCCTGACTATACAGCCCCCTATAACTTGTTGATGCGTTTAGTTGGTCACTCCTGAACAGAGAACTGTTTCACATTCTAGAAGAATCAGCACAGCAAATCGTTGAGGTCCATAAGCAGAACGTTAGTTAGTGATGTTGGAGAAGCTTTGTTCAAACTCGGTTTTTGGATGCATATGGACAGTGGCGGAGGATGTTATCGTGCATTATCCTCCTCATGGTCTGCTGTATTCATAGAATGCAGCGGCTGACGTGCCGTTCTACGAGCATGTTTTTGGGTGTGCAAATATGCACGTTTTTGATCGTTGATGAGACAGCTGATGCAGCTTAAATACTAGAATTCAGTTTGACAGGATAAATTCACCTGGTTCAAAAAGGCAAAATATCTGCACGGCCAATTGGTCATCACGGAAGCCCACGAACTTATCTGGCTGCATTTCACAAGTGTTCAACAATAAACAATATTGGTAAATGTCAACTGAATATTTGAAAAGCGTTCTCAGTTAAAAGACTTTTAAATGCAGGTTCTATTATTAATTAACGTGCAGAAGTATTTCCTGATTATCTATTCAGGTAGATTCGATTTTCAAAAGCAGTTTTTTCTATCGTCCACAACATCCGCACTTTCTTCACAATGGCTGCTTAAATGATACGAATTTTTCCGTATGTTATCGATGCCCGCTCAATCTGACCAACACTCTATAGGGAAAATAAACCAAGTCGCCTTCTGTATACTCCGTTTCGACGATTTATTTTTTCCCTAAGTTGAATGCTTAAAGATATGGTATACGTTTTAATCCCAGTGCATTTCAGTTTCCGATTACTTTTAAATCTGTTCTGCAGTTGTGTTTTCTGTATACGTTTCCTTTTATGATAATAACATTTTTATGTGTCGCTAAGACGCCATCATGCATGTTTCACATATTTTGCAGTAACTTCGGACAATGCTTTCTTCTTAATTAGGAATCTTCGCAAATGTATTAATAAGATAATATCTTAATGCACAATTAATAACCTCGATATCTCTATTATATTTAAATGCCCTTTGATCTTAGGGACCCTTTTCATCGAGAAGAACATTTACATATGCAAGTTGGCGCCTGATAATCATTAAATTGAATATTTATTCTGAGTATAAGACCGCTCGTAAAAATATTTCTTGCAAAATTAATTTACCGGAAAATCACATCTTTGCGAAATTACCGTATTAAGGATTTCCAAATCGATTTTTTTATTTTTCTGATATAGATTTGCTCATACAGTTAAGTGATTGACTGCACAGATCAAAAGACTTTTCAGCCGCCGAAAACTGTACAGGCCCGAGGAGAATTTATTGCCAACTTTAGGTGCTCGCCACCTCATTTTCTGATTATTGATATAGGAATTGTCACAAATCTTGATTTGTTTTAAATGTACATAAGACAGTAAAACTGAGGGCATGAACTATGTTTCGCATAAATATTTGCAAAAATGTTATGCTTATAAACCTCAGCAGAATGGAATCGTATATGATTAATATATTTTTTCCGTAACTTGAAGCAATGTTTTCTACTTCATTTGGAATCTTCAGAAACCTATTCATACGATGAGATTTAAATACAAATTTGATGAGTTAGTAGACATAATTACACATTTTTTGATGGAGAGGTACATATCATCGTGCACAAAATTTAAAGATGCAATTTGGAACCGGACGATTATTAAAAAGCACGTGTTTTACGCGTATACGACTGCCGTAGATATTAACCATTCAAAAATTAACTGTCTTTTAATTGCGCATTTTCCCGACTGAGTCCTCTTGCTTTTTTGGAATGTATTTGCAAAATTTCTTTCTCTTATTACTTTATCGAAAAATCCCATTTTCGAACATAACATATTAGGGGTTTATGAAACGATTTTTTAAATTTTTTTGATATGGCGTTTCTAATATCCTTAGTATTTCACGTGTATATCAAAGGTGTTTTTACCCGTTTATGACTCTCGACTTCTTTTTGACTTTACAAATAATAACATAAACCGGGGGACCATAATTTTCTCTCGCTTGCGTGTTTGTATTGAAAGTTATAATTTTCGATAGAAGAATGAGTATTAGAGAAGTTAAAATTTTTAAATTAGACGGCATGTCCAACATAAAATGTGCATCTATTCTGCTAATGCTGGTATAGCTTGTTTCAATAATTGTCATTTATCGCACTGCAGATCGCGTGACTTTGCAGTTTACGCTTGCACGCAGATTGAAAAGACGCATCTTGAAGACATAGCGTCAAAAAATTCATGTAAGGCCATCTTACACGAAGCGGTACGGACGTGAATTTAAATGCAGTAAGTTATTGATCATGTTGTTCGCGTTGAAATTGTAAGTGCCACCGGCATCAGCTTCGACCGTTGTTGCCGGCATTATCCACCATTTTTAGCACAGTAAATTGAGGCAATGACATTGAATTGAGCTTAAATTAATTTTAATTGAGATTCGATTGGTATATTGTCTAACGTACTGCCTTCTCCTTATCCATAGATAAGTCTAATGTCAACACAAATCCAAGCAGATTAGAGGCTAGAGGGGCGCGGTTGGCTATCACGGAGGGATCCTCATCTCGACATTCCACCACACCACAACAAACCGTTCACCAAGATTTTGCCCAACAACAAATTATACTGCCCAGACGCGAACACGACTGAAGGACCAGGAGGGTGGTAGGCAGTCTTGTATTAGCCTTGACAATTACTCTTTAAATGCCCTGCAACCGGGCAGTCATCGACTTGGACGCATTGCCCATATGCGTGCACACTCATTACATGC